GTTTTAATTATAAATTATTTGATGCTAGGGTGGGCACAGTGGCTCAGCCTGTAATCCCAGAACTTTGGGAGGCTGAGGCGGGTGGATCGCTTGAGGTCAGGAGTTTGATGACACCAGTCTGGCCGACGTAGCAAAACCTGTTTCTACTAAAAATACAAAAATTAGCACGCTTGTAATCCCAGCTACTCAGGAGGCTGAGACAGGAGAATTCCTTGAACCCGGGAGGTGGAGGTTGCAGTGAGCCAAGATTGTGCCACTGCACTGCAGCCTGGGCAACAGAGTGAGACTCCATATCAAAAAAAAAAATTATTTGATGCTTAATATTATATAACTTGGAAAGTGCTTATGAATGAAAATAGTCAAGATATACTTTGTGCTTTTCACTCTTGAGGTTTTATGTGATAAAACATTGCTACCTACAGTTCATTCTCCCTCCTTGGAAAGTGGAACATTGCTGATCTCAATCAAAATGAGAGAAGTATGTAAAAGGGACCAGAATTATGTAGCATGCTTTGAACAGCAAGTAACAGGAAACACTGGTCCAGTTGGATGCTAATAAAGCACTGTATTATTGCCAATAGCAGGCATTCCAGGCATATTATGCCAAGGGCTCAAATTCAGTTTCTTGGTTTGCCTCCCTTTCCGCTTTGTGTTGGCTTCCTCTTCAGGTTGGTAGCAAAATACTTGTAGCTGATTCCAAAATCATATCCTGCTATAAACACTGTGAGAAGGAAAGAAGAGACAAGTTCTTTTTTGTGTCTCTCTTCAGAAATGAGACAACCTCTGCTGGAAGCCTCCTTTAGGTTTTACTTCATTTCAAAACTGGGACATGTGCCATTTCCTAAAGCAATCACTGGCAAGGGGAATTAGATTATCATGATTAGTCTAATCACCTGGAATTAAATTGATGTTAGGAGTTAGTGTCCATCAGCACTAAGCAGAGTTCTCTTTTTCTATGTTTTGACGTCACGTGGGAGTTGAAAAAGTGCAACTGACAGCCAGAGATTGACAGAGTGATGGAGCCACTGAATAAGAAATGGATGTATGACCTGGGAACATGAGAAGCCATGCTAAATGAAACCCATACATTTGAAGCTGCCAATTTCTCATAGATTATCTATTTGTTCAAGTATAAGGAATCTTGAGAACGCATGTAGGATGCAATAGAAACTATATTTTATTTGAGTGCATATTTGTTAACATAATCCTGCTTTTTAAATACTCTACAATCAGGCTGGGTGCAGTGTCTCATGCCTATAATCCCAGTGCTTTGGGCGGCTGAGTCGGGAGGATCACTTGAGCCCAGGAGTTTGAGACTGCAATGAGCTATGATCACGACACTACTCTCTGGCCTGGGCAATAGGGCAAGACCCTGTCTCTGAAAACAAAACAAAATAATAAAAACAAAAATAGGCCGGGCGCGGTGGCTCATGCCTGTAATCCCAGCACTTTGGGAGGCCGAGGCGGGCGGATCACGAGGTCAGGAGATCGAGACCATCCTAGCTAACACGGTGAAACCCCGACTCTACTAAAAATACAAAAAATTAGCCGGGCGCAGTGGTGAGCGCCAATAGTCCCAGTTACTCGGGAGGCTGAGGCAGGAGAATGACGTGAACCTGGGAGGTGGAGTTTGCAGTGAGCCGAGATTGCGCCACTGCACTCCAGCCTGGGCGATAGAGAGACTCCGTCTCAAATAAATAAATAAATAAATAAATAAAATAAATAAAAACAAAAATAAAAACCCCTCCACCATTAGAAAGTTAGCGACACTTTTGTTTTCAGATGTGTCCGTCTTGCTGTGAGTCCACATCCAGCAGGGACAGGCAAAGCCAAGAGCACCAGGGCTCCTCTCCTTCCTGTGTGTGTGCACCTTCCCATGAATACACAAAATAAAGATGATTACTTACTCCATGTGTTACACTTGCAAACCTTGCCTTTTTTTATTGCTCTAAAATGTGAGGTAACCAAGATTGTGCATAAGTAGCAATAGACAACTTACTGCACACTATCTCTGACTCTGTTTGTGGTCCTATATGGTACTTTGGATAATATTATTTTGATAATTATGCATGAATAATTTTTCCAGTGGCACTAGCTGGCCCTAGCTGGCAGCCACCCCTTCCCAGTACATAAGTGCTTTGTTGTTTTTGAAAGATAATTTTTAAATGTTGAATATAATTTTTTTTTTTTTTCAAGAGACTGGGTTTCACTCTCACCTCGGCTGGAGTGCAATGGCATGATCATAACACACCTTGAACTCCTGGGTTCAAGCAGTCCTCCTGCCTCAGCTTCCTGGTAGCCACCACATTGCTGAGCTGGACTTTTTTATTTTTTAAGCTTTAACGCAAAAGTGAAATGGTTTCTTTATTTCACCAAAGGGTTAATAATTGAGAAAGTGATTATCAACATGTACACAAAGCTAACTAGAAGATTAGCTTTCTCAATAGAAATCCAAGTGTCCTGTTAACACTGATGTCACTTATAAATAAATGTTTTGAAACTTTACCTTTTCTTTTTTTATTTTTTTTTGCCTCCCAACATAAAGGCCATACCAGAAAACCTCAGGAATGTAATAATTTATTTATAAGTTTTTTCTTCAAAAAATCCCTTAAAGTTCAGACATTAACACTGATATGCAATACCAGATAGCTCCACAGGACAGGTGGAAACAGGAAAAGTCAGATGGTTGGCACTTAAAAGGACCAGTAATTAAGCAATTGAAAGTGGATTGGATTGTTGGTTAATATTTGTTCATTTGAAAGAATCAACTGGAAGAGGTAGCCTCTTGGAAGAGGGAGATAAGTCATACCTAATGCTTCCCCTCACTGACCAAGGGGCTGGGATATCTTGTTAACTACCTTTTTTCTGTTTAATTACATTCTGTACTCTAATTTTCTCAGATCGTATATTCTATCTTATTTTTCCCTCTGGACAGAAAGAAATCTTTGTTTACTTCATCCTACGTCTTTTCTCTGAGAAAAGGCAGTCTCCTCTCACAGGGGAAAGAAAACCAGGAGGAAGGAGAGAGGAAGGAGGGGGAAGAAGGGAAGATGAGAGAGAGAAGAGAGAGGAGACAGAGACAGAGAGAGAGAGGAGAGACAGAGCAGAGAGAAAGAGAAAAATGGAACATCAGATTAAAGTAGAAGACGTGGGAGAGAGGGGAAGGAAAGAGGGAGCAGGAAGGGGGATGCTCCAAGCTCTCAATTTCAGGACTGTGCAAAATGATTTTCCAGGAGATGCACATGTGGTCTCGTATTTCTCACAATAGTCCACCCAGGCTTCCTCCTCAGGTCTGTCTCCCACTACCAAAACCCAATATAGCCAGTCTTGCTGCCTTACCTGGAAGGAGGACCAGGACCTGGTGCTAGGTCTGGGACTCCACTGCTGTCCCTGAACAGACTTGTTGGAGGCATTCACATTTCTCTCCACTCTTGGGGAAACAGCCTGCAACAGGAAAGGAGTGCGTGTTAGTGTTTTCTCAGGGCCACCTGGTGGTCCTAGCTTGCTGCACCCCGTTTTCTGACTGAGAGGAGGCAGCAAGTGTGACTTAATCTCCTTCTTGCAAGGAGCTACCTCTTCCACTTGATTCTTTTTTTTTTTTCTTGCTCTATTGCCCAAGCTGGAGTGCAGTGGTGCAATCTCCACTCACTGCAACCTCCACCTCCCAGGTCAAGTGATTCTCCAACCACAGCCTCCGGAGTAGCTGAGATTACAGATGCACGCCACTATGCCTGGCTAATTTTTGTATTTTTAGTAGAGATGGGGTTTCACCATGCTGGCCAGGCTGGTCTCGAACTTCTGACCTCAGGTGATCTGCCTACCTCGGCCTCCCGAAGTACTGGGATCACAGGTGTGAGCCACTGCGCCCGGCCGTCCATTTGATTCTTTCAGATGGATGTCTGTGGGGCACAGAAAGGGGCTCAGATGAGGGGGCTTATGGGTATTACCCAGGGTGCAGCCTCAGGTTGGGGTAACTGCTGTCGCTGCTGCCACAGCTGCAGGATGAAGAGGTGGAAAGACACTGGGGGAAATACGGAATCAAATTTTTAAAAACATTTTATTTTGGAGCTACTTGCCCCAAATCTTGAAATCAGAAAGTCCTGAGGGCTCTGTCTCAAATTTCATCCCAAATGCATACATTTCAACCACTACTGCTCTATTCTAAAACATGTTGGGCTGGGTGCTGTGGCTCATGCCTGTAATCCCAGCACTTTGGGAGGCTCGGGTGGGTGGATCATCTGAGGTCAGGAGTTCCAGACCAGCCTGGCCGACATGGTGAAACCTCATCTCTATTAAAAATACAAAAATTAGCTGGGCGTGGTGGTGCATGCCTGTCATCCCAGCTACTCAGGAGGCTGAGGCAGAAGAATTGCTTGAACCCAGGAGGCAGAGGTTACAGCGAGCCGAGATCGTGCCATTGCACTCCAGCCTGGGTGAAAAGACCAAAAGTGTGTCTCAAACAAACAAAAAAAAAAATGCCTTTTAACAATAATAATAACATTATTCTGTTATTCTGTTTGTGTAAAGTTTATTTTCCTATGTTGTTTGCTCTCCCTTGATGCAGCACACCAAACTCCGTCTTGTTGGAATACACCATGTGGTCATTGGGTGACTGCCAGCACCTGTGCAAATCTAGGGAGCCCATTTGGAGACTTCCTGCACCTCTATCTTTCAACCCCTGCCCTGGTTCATACCCAGTAGATCTGCTCTCAAATCCTTTGGATTTAGAGTGAGGAAATATTTTGATTCCAGGGCATTAGAAAGGCAAGCACTAATCAAATAAGATTAAGTTTGGCATAAAGGGATTAAGCTCAGAACAGATAATTACTTGGAATGAATTATCTTGGGAAGAGCTACCGGGATTGTACGCTCACTCACCCTAAGGTAGTTCAAGGGGCAGGTTGTTGGGTTCCTATGTTAAGGACAGAGCCTAGGTCCTCTCTCACTTTTCCAAGTCTTTTGCTAACCAATTGCCTGGACTTGTCCTTATTCTGTATCAGGTCGGAGCAGAGCATGGACATGGGAACTAGTGCTCTCAGCAAGAAGCCGTGGTGGACCCTGCCTGAAAACTTTCATGCTCCAATGGTGTTCCACATGGAAGAGGACCAGGAGGAGCTCATCTTTGGTGAGTGGCCCTTGCTAACGTCCCCGCCTTCATCCTTGTCTTCTCGGTTTTCAATCTTTTCCTCCTTTTCCACCTTCATCAGTCACACATCCGGAAGTTCCCTCAAGGCCACCTCCCGACTCCCCAAGGGCTGGTGCTTGACAGACCCTCCTCTCACCTCTTATGCTCACAGGGCACGGTGACACATACCTTCGATGCATTGAGGTGCACAGCCACACCCTTATTCAGCTGGAGAGTTGGTTCACAGCTACAGGCCAGACTCGTGTGACTGTAGTCGGACCACACAGGGCAAGGCAGTGGCTGCTGCACATGTTCTATTGCGTGGGGAGCCAGGACTCCTATCATCATGCTCGAGGTAGGTATTCTTGGCTGAACTGTGGTTTTGGACTTGGTGGTGGAGTTCTGGCTAAGTTGTGTGGCATCTTGGATTCTTGAAGAATCCCTTTTTGGCTAGGGAATCCAGGTACTTCCCAGAGTCCATTGGGAAGAAAAGTGCTCATTTTTTTTTTTTTGGCATGAGATTGCTTAAGGTGGGGAAGGTAGCTGGGAGGTGTAAATGGGTTACCTTGGAAGGCCTGGGCTGGGGTGACATCCTCCCTGCAGCCTCCCTGATGGAGTCCAGGCCTGCCAATGGGCCCTAGTTATGGGCCCTGGTGCATTAACCCTGGGCACATCTTTTGCAGGCCTGGAGATGCTGGAACATGTCCGAAGCCAGCCCCTGACCAATGATGACCTGGTCACTTCCATTAGCGTGCCACCGTACACTGGAGACCTGTCTTTGGCTCCCAGGATAAGTGGAACCATCTGTCTTAGTGTTCCTCAGCCTTCCCCTTACCAAGTGATCGGTTGTTCGGGATTCCATTTGAGTTCACTGTATCCGTAATTAAGGACTGATTTCTGGGAAGCGGGGATGAGAGGAGAAGTCTTGGCTTCGCTTTTGGTGAGAAAGACATGAAAGACACTGAAGAAAGTTTGAACTTGTGGCTGGGACCTGTCCCTCTCAGGTCTTGTAGACATGTGTCTGAGGGAAGTCTCCTGAATGTAAGAAAGTGTTATTGGCAAAGCAATCCAATAAAATAAGCTACCTATGATGCAAAGCCTTCGATGTGCTGTCCTCTTTCCTTAGGATGAACTTATTCACCCCAGGATTTTCCTGGAGCTTCAAGTGCACACAAATGGGGAGAACGGAAAGGTGGGAGGAAGGGTCCAGATAGAGATGGAAAGTGTTCCCACCCCAACTACCTGGTGAAGTAGGCAACCAGGGAATCTGGTGAATATGAGGTAGCCAGCATTGTCCCTGATTGCCCAAGTTTGTGGGTGGGGTGAGAGTGGAGGGGGTGATTTTCAGGGAGCAATGGGTTTTGAAGTCCCTCATGCCATGAATTAAATACGAAGGCTTCCTGAAACTCCATTGAAGAACGTTTTCTGATTGCCAAGTCTATATATGGATCTCTCTAGGCAAGATTATGGCAAGCTAAACCTGTCCTCAGTAGAACTCTTCCTCTTCAAATTTGCTCCTTCTCCAGCAGCCTGTATCTTAATAATGAGGCAACTGCAGTACCCTAGGAGAGTGATGATGGTGACTTGGACCAGAGTGGAGTGGCTGAAGTGTTAGGAAGTGGTTGAATTTGGAACATAATTTGAAGCCAGCAAGATTTACTAATTACATGGTTTTCACAAGGCCAATTGCCAAATAAAAGTTAAAATATCATATTCACAGTAGAAAAACACTTAGAGAAAATGTTGAAAGAATTCAGGTTATAGGCCGGGCGCGGTGGCTCACGCCTGTAATCCCAGCACTTTGGGAGGCCGAGGCGGGCGGATCACAAGGTCAGGAGATCGAGACCATGGTGAAACCCCGTCTCTACTAAAAATAGAAAAAATTAGCCGGGCGCAGTGGCGGGCGCCTGTAGTCCCAGCTACTCGGGAGGCTGAGGCAGGAGAATGGCGTGAACCCGGGAGGCGGAGCTTGCAGTGAGCCGAGATTGTGCCATTGCACTCCAGCCTGGGCGACAGAGCGAGACTCCGTCTCAAAAAAAAAAAAAAAAAAAAGAATTCAGGTTATAGTAGTCGAATACTATGGCCCATGCTTATAATCCTAGCACTTTGGGAGGCCAAGAAGGGGTCAGGTGTTGGAGGCCAGCCTGGGTAACATGGTGAAACCCTGTCTCACCCAAGAACACAAAAAATTAACCTGGTGTGGTGGCACACACCTGTCATCCCAGCTGCTTAAAGTGGGCACTGGGGTTGCAGTATTGCTTGAGCCTGGGAGGCGGAGGTTGCAGTAAGCCAAGATCATGCCACCACACTCCAGCATAGGCAACAGAGTGAGACTCTGTCTCAAAAAAAAAAAAAAAAATTCAGGTTTATAGACTGTCATACAGACTGCCAAAATAAATTGTCTACAGATAATGACCACTTTTTTCTTTCTAGAAGTGAATTGTTCAGTTAGTCCTGAGGCCTAGCCCAGTGCCTTAATAATTATTTGTTGAAAAATGAATGAAAGTCTTTTTAATGGCTAGGAATGTATTCTAATATTGAAATAAAAAGAACCTGTAAAGGAGTGAAGCACATTCTAACTTGCTAGGCATAAAAAGATAAATGTATATCCCTGACCTTTGGACAATAATCATTGCTTTTACTAAAAATTTCCTAGGGAAAAATCTCATGATTGTCAACGGTACCATAGTATTTCTAACTCCAATCAAACTTCTGGCAAAAGATCTGTGTATACTTTAGTACAGTTTAAGGAGTCTGAGCCGACGTTTTCTTTCTTTCTCTCTCTCTCTTTCTTTCTCTTTCTTTCTCTCTCTCTTTCTTTTTCCTTTCTTTCTTTCTTTCTTTCTTTCTTTCTTTCTTTCTTTCTTTCTT